CACATCCACGATCCCGGATTAGGACACTAATCCCGGACTAGGAGTAAAAGACTGTCACTCCGACACGCACCCTACGGGACATCGGTATCCCGTAGAAGCCACATCGGTAAACGCACCGCGACAGCAAGGCTGCCACCGTTTTAGGAGAAGTAGTGACTGGAATGGTGTGGTAATACTGTACCGTCAGTTTGCATTGTGAATCGGATCAAGACGTTGATCTCCGTGTTGGTTAACGGACGTTGACGACGCGGGTGCGGAACAAAGAATTCTTTAGAGAACGTATCGGCATTACAATGAGTGACACCGAAGAGCAGCCGTCCAGTCGCAAGTCTCGGTCGCCGGAGCGCGACGATGACGTATTGCGTACGACAATGCGTGGTCGTGAACGCGAACGCTTTCGCGGGCCATTTGGTTCACCGAGAAGAACTCAGCCACAGCCGATTAACCAGACGTCGTGGTTTATGGACGGCAAGGTTGGGGTGGCGTCAAGATGGACGCCATCGACTGCGCCGAAGTCAGCAGCTGACGTGCCGCTGCCGGACGAACCGTCTGCCGCGCTGAGTGCAGCAGAAGTTGTGGACATGGGCCAGGACGAGCCCATGAGGGTTGTGAGTGCCCCAGCTTTGCCGCAACCGCCTAGACGGCACGATGGTGCCGAGACCATGGGGTGCTTGCTGCATTGCATGCGGAGCTCCCCAACGAACTCATACACTTCGACTGGTTACAACTACCGCCAGCCGAAAATGGTTCGAAATACGTGCTTGTTGTGAAAGACAACATGAGCGGATATTGTCGTCTGTTTCCATCCGCGGCAGCCGACGCGGACAGCACAGCCAATGCCCTGATGGATTGGTTTGCCACGCATGGTGTTGTGACGACATGGGTGTCTGACGGTGGAACCCATTTCAACAACGAAGTTGTGGGGAAGATCAAGAAAATGATCGGTGCCCACCACCACATCACGACACCGCATACACCGTGGGCGAACGGCACGGTAGAAGTTGCGAATCGACTTGTGTTACAAGGATTGAAGACCCCCCACGAGCGAACTGAAGCTGCGCCCGGATGAATGGCCTCGCGTGTTGGCGCTGGTGCAAAGTGCATTGAACCACCAGCCGGCCAACCGACTTGGTGGAATGTCTCCTGTGACAGCTTTTCAAGGTTTGCCGTCGACACCACCGCTTTCTGGGTTCGTACACCCAAGAGCCAAAACGGTTCTGCCCGTCAACTGGCTTGCAACGGCTCGCCACCAGCACATGACCGAGTTACGGTCAGCCATGGACAACATTCATCGCAATGTGGCGGCAAAAAGCGAATTATTGCGCCATCAGGCGCGGGGCCGACGATCGAAAAAACCGCTTGTGAAAATGGCAAAGTTTGCGGTTGGAGATTATGTTCTGCTGGGCAAAGTCGTCAACTTTCCCAACAAGTTAGCCCTGAACTGGAGAGGGCCATACCGTGTATCACGCATCGAGTCAGACTACGTGATGGAAATTCAACAACTAGTTGAACCATTTGCTACGTCGGTCCATCACGCCAGCCGGTTGAAATACTTCTGCGATGCCGCCTTGGACATCGACGACTTGAAGGAATATGCGGTATTTGGTGACGAAGGCTTCTTCGTTGAAGACCTCCTCGATGCACGGTATTCGGGCCACCGGTGACGCGGCAGCTGTGCGGAAATCGCGATTAGCGCGGCGAGCTTCCTCGCATTTATGGAGTGTGTCCTCAAACCATCTGATCTATATGGCTTCATCCTCGATGTCGCAAGGAGTCAGTAGCAAGTGTGACTCTGAGGGTGAAAGGTCCAGACAGCGTAAAATCTCCTCGTATGATGGGTTCTGGCGGCGTTGACGGACTAGTTCGAGCTGGCGTTTGATGTCCGACTTGGAGATAGGGAAAAGTCGGTCCTCGATCTCCTTGTCGTATTTGTCGTCAAGTGCGCTTGCCTGCGACAATAAAAGGTCTGAAATGTCTTTCTCAGAAAACACCGGTCGCGCAGGTGTAAAGTTTGTGTCCAACACTTGGTCCTGTGTTGAAGAAAGGTCCAACAGCGCCGACGGTGCAGTGTCGTCACAGGAGGAAGGCGGTGAATTGGACCCGACTTGGGCGAACGCGAAGCATGCGTCTGGTTGTGTCGGGTCCCGTCAGTGTGGTTTGCCAGTGTAAGTACTGTGTTTGCGGTGCATCGATGTCAAGGCTTGGGCGTCGGGACAGGGTCCGTTCGCTGGGGCCTCGAGTTGGGATCTGGAGGGTGTGCTGAGAGTTCCACATAGGTGTGTGCGGCCACCGTAGTTGCCGATGCGACACAGACGAGACTAGGTATGGATGCATTGTTCTCGAGCACTCCATGGACGTGCTGAGGGTGGCTAGCCGTGGGTTTTGTCGAGTCCCCCACGGCGCCGGCTTCGAAGGCGTGAGCGCTGGCTTCGAAGGGCAGCGCAACACAGTGTGACTGGGGAGCTTACAGTAGTGACAGATCTTTGGGTGCTCGCCCGCGTAGTGTCCGGATTCATGGCAAAGGTTGCAACACACGTGTTTGCGTGGGCAGTCAATTGATCCATGCCCAGCGCGATCGCAACGCCCACACTCCTTTACTCCACTTGACGTGTCGTCATCGGGTTTGGTCGAGATCACGAAAGGAGCATAGCCCAGGTGAGTCCGCTTGTTGTTTTGGTTGGACTGTGGCTTCATGACAGGTGGGGAAGCTGTTTGCGTTTGAACGGGTGTGTAAGCCATCTGGTATGAGGCAGCGTAGTGTGACGGCTGAGTTGGTTGGATTGGGGCAGCGTATTGAGGCGCGGCGTTGGACTTCATGAACGCCTCCAGAAGAGTTTGCTGAACGCGGTCGGCCTTCTCGATGTGGGCAACAAAGGCTTGCTGTTGTTGCTGCTGTTGCTGCGTCATCAAGGCAGCAAGGAGCTTTTCGAGAGTAGACTGATCCTCGAATCCAACCTTGGATCCACGACGCTGGATGTCCGGCGGCCGAGGGGGCGTGCGCAACGACGAAAGTACAAGGCAATGCTGATCGAAAATGTCATCCCCGCGATTCGATCCAAGTGGCCTCGCGGAGAGGACAAGAAAGTCAAGATTCAACAAGACAACGCACGACCACACGTTCCTCCGCGGGATGCTGCTATCGTCGCTGCCTGCAAGGAAGATGGTTGGGATATCGAGGTCGTGTTTCAACCTCCCAATTCGTCGGATTTGAACGTGCTGGATCTGAGATTTTTCCGCGCAATTCAGACTCTCCAAGTCGAAAAGTCCTCGCGGGCCTGGAGGAGATCGTTGCTGCGACGAATTCGGCGTGGGCGGAAGTCAGTTCAACAACGCTCAACAAGAACTTCCTCACCTTGCAACGATGCCTCCAAGAGGTCATTCTGTATTAAGGTGGAACTACAAGATCCCACACATGAGAAAGGATGCATTGCTTGCTTGAGGCAGGTTGCCAGAAAAGGTTTCCTGTGACAGCAGTGCTTGGGAATTTGGTTGTGCGTACTTGAGTGGGGTAGATTATGTAGCTCACATGCAAAACCAGATGAGGAGGCTCAAAAGACCATTGAATTGGGTGCAATATGTACTCAAATTGAGGCGTTGACCTTGGACAGCGGCACGGAGGTTGCTGACGAAATGATCGCCGCTTTAGGCCTCGCTCAATTGTCTGTTGACGAAAACTAAGTTTGAAAATGAGCATTCTTTTTCGGAATTTGTAATTGTCAAATACAAACATTTATAATTGGACAAAGGTAGTAAGTACTACGTAGTTCAGTCAACTTGATAAAAACTCGACAAATTGGTACAGGGAACGACGGAAATCCTTCCCCCGTGGT